CACTAGTAATAAAATGGTGTAATACATTATATGTCTACACAATGAAGTAATAACACAAACATAAAAAAGAATGAGGTCACTCTATATTACTGAACCGGAAAGATAAAAGACAGTCAGGATATATTAAGTATAAAGAGCAAGCTGACGACTGTTCTTTCTGTATGTTTTAAAATTTTTATAATAAAAAAAATGATGGGGGAAAAACAGATGCTTTGCCTTTTTCTGAGGATCTCAGAAGTTTGGACAGCTGAACCCTGCCTCCCTTACCCCACCATATCTGACCACCAAGTTTTCTGACCTGCACTGCTAACATAGTCATTTCCTCTACTTGACTCAGTGGTTTCTCTAGATCTCTTCTGTTCTTCCCTGGAATAAATATTTTAAAACATATTTTAAAAACAAATTTTAAATTACCCTCTTTTCTGTTATGATAATGCATGTCTTAATATTCTTGTGATGGAAATCCCTTGGTATAAATCAACATAAAAATCAAGTGTTAGTTCACCTCTTGTGAACTACAACCCCTTTTAAATGAGGAATACCCTTGTTTAAAGAATGCACTTGTATCCTAGTATATTCATAATTCTAAGTCAACCATGTTTCCTAAGGTCATAACAAATTAGTCTTAAGATCTCAGATTCACTTTATTACCACTTTGTGTATTATACAGAAATGAAAATAAGAGATCATAGCACTGTGTTCACCCTAATTCTCAATTCTCTCTTGAAAATTACTGGGTTCTTCATTATTATTCTACACCACGGGTCAGAAAACTACAGTCTGCCACCTGTTTTTCTACACGCTAAGAAAAACTTTTACCTTTTTAAATGGTTAGGAGAAAAAAAAAATTAAAAGGAGAATAATTCATGACACATGAAAATTATATGAAGTTCAAGTTTCAGCATCCACAAAACTGTATGGGAACACACCTATTCGTTTAGCATTTTCTAATGCTGCTTTCATGCTAAAAAGACCGAGTTGAGTAGTGGCAACAAACACCACATATGCCTCAAAGCCAAAAATAAGTCCTATCTGGCCTTTTACAGATAGTCTGGCAATCCCTGTTCTATGCCATACTTCATGCCCTTTATACTTTATAGTTTTACCTAGACATTTCTCTCCTTTTCCCTCACTATTTAGCGTAAAGTCCGCTTAATAATCTGCTAGTCTCCAGGCAAGCAAATTCTTCGGTCTTGGAAAAGCATTACCTCCTGGGAATTTCCTTAGTCTAACCAACATTCTTGGTCCTTAAAAACAGAAAACCAGATAGAAGTGCTATCAACACCTTAAAAGTTACAATTAACAAATCAAAACCAGAACCAAATGTCACCAGCATCTCTCTCCTTCCAAGAGGCTAAAAAGGCTGACCCTCCAGCTACTCTCCCTTAGAATTAACGTGATTTGTGAGTGGGAACAAGTACTGCTGCTAAAATAAGATCCCTAAGGATCAAATAGTAATGAGAAAAAATGTGACTACCGGTAGTCCCCAACTTAAGACCGCATTCAGATGACTCCGTAATAAGAAGGTTCTGACATAAATCGAATAATCTTTTAAGTTTTCATTATCGCCTTTTATTATCAATACAGTAACTTTTAAAATCGATCTTTGTCTTTGGGGGTTAGAAACATTACATATAAACATCTGCGAGTGAACATCTAGAATGAAAACACCAGCAAATTACGTGTTGTAGCACTGTATATAGTACATGTAACTAACAATGAGACATACAAAAAAAAAAAAGGACGGTTGTAAGTGCGGTTTGTCCTAACTCCAATACACAGTAAATCAGGGACTACCTATAAATGTAGTTTTCTCAAGTTTTCCTTCAAATCTTTGGCTACCGAAAAAAATGAACAAAAGCAAAGGAACAATAAGAAAAAAGCAGATCAACTGTATTTAGCATGTGCGATCCTAAATATTTATACATTAGTCATTTGATCGTATTTTCCGCAAGTAAAAAATTTCTGGCTATCAGGATGAGAGGTTATATATTGCGCAGTGTTTGTAAGCAGCATCAGAACTTCGCTGGTGGCAAGCTGGGCCATTTCCTCTCCAAGACGGAGGGTACAAACTGCTTTCTTTTCTACCAGCAGTTTCATACTCTTAGCACTAATTCCTCGGCAGTTCCAGCCCCTCTACCCAGCACGTATTCCTTCTCAGCGCCATCACACTTCTATCCAGCGGACTCCTCCCCAGCCCTATCACACCTCTACACAGCGCCTACTCCTCCGGGAGAAGTCCCCCCCCAGCCCATGCCCCAGCTCCTCTCCAGACCCACCACACCTCTACCCAGCAGACTCCTCCTCAGTCCCATCACCTCACCCTCTTCCTCCAAAGTCACAGGCCTGCGCAGCTTCCAGCAGCAGAACAAGACTAGAATGCAAAGCCTGGGGTCCCCGCACACACGGAGAAACTCAGTCCCAGACGTGCAAAGATCAGGCATTGGGTCGCATTCAGTTAACTAGAGTTTACGTAGCGTTTGCTGCGGTCGGCCCCCAGCGAAGAGCTGGGGATACAAAGGTGAGCAGCAGAGACATGGTAACAGCTTTCTGGACTCTCACTCTAGCAGTAGAAGCAGATAATTTCGACAAACTCGCCAAGGCAGGGGCTGGACGAAGAACTTTTGAAGCACTCGAAGAGAGAATTTAAAAGACTTACATTCAACTGTCGGAAGTGACGTCCCAGCAGAGACCTGCAGGTCCGCCACGTAACTGGACACCACCTCAACTAGAACTTTCTACTGGACTGGACTGGAGAGAGGAAAAGTGTGGCTGGACCATAACAACCTGCCCTTGCCCTGCATCTCCCAGCTCCTCTGGGGACCCACCGAGCTGGATCAGAGCCCGGGCCGCAGCCTGGACAGGAGAGCTCTTCCCGCCCCGGCGCCTATCGGCGCCCTGCGGACAATGGGCTTCAGCATTCAACCACGCGCATGCGCGGCCCTTTTTCTCCAGCGGATTCTTCGGGTCACCTGGACGCCGGCATCTCAGCCACTTGCCCCTCTAGGTCCCTTTTCGCCCTTGACGCCTCCTGCTGATTCTCACCTCCGGCCCCATTTCTCCTTCTTCTGCAGGCACCGCTAGGCCCTCACACAGCCGTCCGCAGGAACCCGACTTCTACTCCACAAGAGCCTCTCCGCGCGGCACGGCTTCCGCTTCCGGCGAGTATTGTGTGTCGCGCTGCGGGGCGGGGGGAGGAGGAAGGAGGGAGGCAGCGCTCCGGCGGCTCCGCGCCCCGCACTCCCGGACCCGAAGCCGGGAAGGTAGGTGCCGTCCCGCTGCCGCGCCCGTGCCCCGGGGCCTATCCCGGCCGGCCGGCTCCACCTGCCGCGTCCCAGCGACCCGCGACTGCGTCACCGGCCCCCCGCACGTAACTACAGCTGCCTCCGCCCGCCTCAGGCCCGGGCGGACGTTTTGCCGCCCCGGCGACGTCAGCGCGTCCGGCGTTGCTTGGCTACCCCGCCGTTCCCCCGTCCCGCTGCCGCTCGCCTCCCGAGGTGAAACTCTGACGCCGTCACCGCCGATCTCGGCTGCGTCATAGCGGCCGGCATCCCACCTTAACGTCACACCTCCAAACTGGACGCGCGTCCCTCCCTCCCCCGCCAGGCACGACGTTTCCTCACCCCACTCTCCAATCCCCTGCGCCAGATCTGGCGGGAGAAGATGGAGACCGGGGTGGGACAGAGTTGTGGACAACGCTCAGGAGAGGGTCGCAAGGTGGGACCTTGGACAGTGGTAGAAACAGAATGAAGACATCCCTGAAGTTTGCCCTTGCACTGAAACACGAGGAATAGAGGGAGAGGAAGGACTAACCCACAGGCAAGCGAGGCCTCACGTGGGCTCAAAGTCCTGTCCATACTTCCCAGACCCTTTCTCTCTGTTTCACACCACTTCTCTGTTTTCTCTGCCAGTCTAGATCTATCCTGGCCCCTAACTGCATATAATTCAACTCACTTCAGGTGAGAAGGCCACTTAGTTTCTAAGAAGATTGAGGAAGGGCCAAGGTCACCAATCAAAATTGGATTCCCATAGTTAGAGAAAAATCATCTGACAGAACTCATCTAATGTTGGGGGAAAAATTCTAGTCTAAATAACGTACTGAGTCCCTACTCCAAATTAAACACCATATGTACTGTCAGTATATCAAAACCAAAAACCACACCCATTGCCATTGAGTCAATTCCAACTCATAGCAACTCTATATAGTTGTTAATAATTGTTAGCCCAACTCATTACATGGCCACTTCTCTCTCAGCACATAGATCTGCTAAATTTCCTCGGGTTGATAGGTGTGCAGGGTGGGTATGAGGATAGAGAAAAGAGCTTAACTCATGGATAAAAGTGTTGCCATTTTAAAGATGGAATAGGGGACCAGCCTTCTGCTTTAGAAATCTCTTCGCTGCATTTCCAATTGTTTTGAGGCATCACTTGAGGGAGATTTTGATGCTTATTTACTTTCTTTCTCTTAATCCCCAACCACTCCAGAACCTATTAGTTGGAGACAGAGTTATGTCCAGGGAATTAATCATGAATAGCTATCTTGGAAGACTGCAGTCATTGCTGAATATTTAGAGTAGACTTATCAGCGCTCTTTTCAAAAGGTTATTGTTTTGAGCTCAATAAAGTGCTCTTTAGTATAGTTGCCGTGAATTTATCATTTTTCAGCGGTTCCAACTGTCCAAATGCACAGAAATAGAAACGGGATGTTGTGTGAGTCGTTTCATTTCGGGAATTTTCTCTAGGCTAGTCTGATAAAGAGTAATTTCAAGCTCTCTTCTAAAGAGGAGGTTGTTATCTTCACCTAACCCATTCCATTTACTACCCTTTGAAAGAATGAGAGACGAGTGTCAGGGAATCAAGATTAGGCTTTATTAATACCTTGACTTTTATGGCGCTGGTGGTGTAGTGGTTAAGAGCTATGGCTGCTAACCAAAAGGTCGGTGGTTTGAATCCACCAGGCGCTCCTTAGAAGCTCTACAGGGCAGTTCCGCTCTGTCCTATAGGGTCGCTATGAGTTGGAATCAACTAGACAGCAACGGTTTTGGGTTTTTGTTTTTGTTTTTGGCTTTTATGACAGTTTGCAGTTTCCCAAACTCCTTTCTCATCTATGAGAAAATATATCAAGCTAGGGATACATTGTTTGGAACTAATTAGTTCCAAGATACAAATGGGATGAACCTGATCAGGAGTACACTGGTCTAGGGTAGGGAGAAGCCTCTGTTTTTAACAAGAGAAAGCAGAGGTAAGAGACAGGAAATATTGACGGGTGAGTGTCAGTTTGCTGAAGAGAAAAAAAAGATAAGGTTGACAGCTGGGAGTCACATTTTAAAATGGAGAAAGAAAAGAGGTTGAATCAAGTAGGTGGGTGCGGAGGGGAAGACGGAGTATGCCAAGATGGGTTAAACCTGGAGGTAGGGTTTAATATGAGAGTAAATGTCAGGCCAGGGATGCCAAAAAATTAAACCTCCAACTAATATTTTTCTTTTCTCTGCCCCTCCTCCTATCCCCAAGTTAAATAATGGCAGAGACGGGTCTGTTAGAGGCTGGGGCCTCTGCAGCGTCCACGGTTGCAGCTCTGGAGAACTTACAGGTGGAGGCAAGCTGCTCTGTGTGCCTAGAGTACCTGAAGGAGCCTGTCATCATCGAGTGTGGGCACAACTTCTGCAAAGCTTGCATCACACGCTGGTGGGAGGACCTGGAGAGGGACTTCCCTTGTCCTGTGTGTCGAAAAACATCCCGCTACCGCAGTCTCCGTCCCAATCGGCAACTAGGCAGCATGGTGGAAATTGCCAAGCAGCTCCAGGCTGTCAAGAGAAAGATCCGGGATGAGAGCCTCTGCCCCCAGCACCATGAGGCCCTCAACCTCTTCTGCTATGAGGACCAGGAGCCTGTATGTTTGATATGTGCAATTTCCCACACGCACCGGGTCCACACTGTTGTGCCACTGGACGATGCCACACAGGAGTACAAGGTGGGGAACCAGATGCATGATACCAACATGGGGAAAGAGGGCAGAGCAGCAGTGGATGGGAGACTCCCTGAGTAGAGGATTATAAATTCCTCGAGAGGAAGACTATCTCTCGTCTTCACTGTGTAATCCTGTCAGAGCTGCACACACTGAGGGCGCACACTGATCACCTCAGTTATCCTCAAGTATGAAAAGCAGTGGTGTGTTGTTGTTGTTGTTAGGTGCCATTGAGTTGATTCCAACTCATAGTGACCCTGTGTACCACAGAACGAAACATTACCTCGTCCTGCGCCATGCTCATAATCGTTGTTATGCTGGAGCCCATTGTTGCTTCCACTGTGTCAGTCCATCTTGTTGAGGGTCTTCCTCTTTTTCGCTGACCCTGTACTTTAACAAGCGTGATGTCTTTTCTCCAGGGACTGATCCCTCCTGACAACATGTCCAAAGTATGTAAGACGTAGTCTTGCCATCCTTGCTTCTAAGGAACATTCTGGTTGTACTTCTTCCAAGACAGATTTGTTCATTCTTTTGGCAATCCATTGTATATTCAATATTCTCCGCCAATACCACAATTCAAAGGCGTCGGTTCTTCTTCTGTCTTCCTTGTTCATTGTCCAGCTTTGGCATGCATATGATGCGATTGAAAATACCATGGCTTGGGTCAGGCACACCTTAGTCTTCAAAGTGACATCTTTGCTTTTCAACACTGTAAAGAGGTCTTTGCAGCAGGTTTGCCCAATGCAATGTATGTGGAGGATCCAAAATTACTCCCTTGGCTTTTGCAACACATTTGAGAAGTTTGTATGTGTAATCTTGGAACGTGTCATATTTTTCATAAATGAATGAAACCACATAGAGAAGATCTAACTTAGGAAGAGCTGAACAGTGATCTGGTTCCCTCATTCTTTCCCTCTGCTCAGAACACCCCTTGTTTGTATTGGTATTGGGAGCACGTAATACCACTTCTTTAGACTGATAACCACCAGTCCAAGCTTAACCAGTCTGTTGTTCGCATCTTCCCTAGTAGTGGATAACATAGCATCTGGTTTAACTTGCCGCTGGGACATGGTAGATACTTGAATAATGGGGAACTAGAGATTTCATTATTTTAGCATGTTGTCACTTTACTTTGCTTAATTATGTTGGAAACAAGATTTGAAGTAATGTATATGCAATCAAGATTTTATTATTTTTATAGGTGTTTACAGTTGGATGGAAGGACAGGTTTAAAGAAGGATATCAGGGTACAGAAGTAGGTCACTTTGACAGTAATAGGCAGTTACCTGAGTAAGAAAATGGACAGGATTGGGGAAAGACACAGAGTTGGTACCTGTTGGACAGCTATAAGAGTCAGAAGAAAGTTGGGTGAGCAGAGATAACTTGGACAGGCCGGTGGCAGGTCCAGTAAGAAGCTGACATCCCAAATGACAGGCAAGTAAGGGAGTTGGATCAAGAGGTGGTGAGATGGGAAATAAGCAAACAAATGGGTTGACCTCTGAATGAAGCATGTGCTAGCCAGCCTCAATTGTTACCTTTCCCACTTCCTTCCCAACCCTCAGGAAAAGCTACAGAAGTGCCTGGACCCCCTGGAGCAGAAGCTGCAGGATATCACCCGCTGCAAGTCCTCTGAGGAGAAAAAGCCTGGAGAGCTCAAGGTACAGGCAAGCTGTTTCATTTGGGCTCCTCTGCAGGTCTTTTCCTAACAGAGAATTAACCACAGACTAAATAATCCACCAGTTCTGATTCACTAGAATAATGCTATTCTCTCAAAATTGATGATACTTCATAAGGTTTGATTGTCATTAAACATTGCACTTAAATAACTTGTCATGAATTAGGTGTTCAGGGGAGGGATGTAAGAGGTGAAGGACAGACAGAACATCTTGCATCTGACAAGCTGAGGGAATTCATGTCGGTTGGTCTCATTTTTCTTTGTGAAGCAGGGAGGGAAGCTGTTTGTTGAGGGTGCTGGGATAAGAGTTTCTTAGAGGGATTGAGGAGAGGTGAATTTAGAAGATTCACTGGGGAAGAAGGGAGAAGGAGCTGACCAGGAGCTCACAGAAGAACTGCCCAGTGACTTTAAGACCACATTCTCTTGACTCAAGTAAGCTCAACTATTCTAGCTGATGTTGGTTCATTCCTAGAATGTTCTTCCCCTCCTAGCCTCCACCTATAGCATCCTATCTATCCTTCAGGTCTTAGGATGAAAGCCACTTCCTATACAGCTTTTCTTGACCCTTCAGAAATGAACTTCCTTAATTTTCATACTATTTTCCATCATTTCCGTAACATTACCATATTCAAGTTTGTACTGTGGTATTTCAATATCTGCCTTATTTCTTCTATTGGACAGTAAGCAATTATTAGTAGGAGTGATGATTACCCATTGCCACTGAGTCAATTCTAACTCATAGCAACCCTGTAGGACAGAGTAGAACTGCCCCATAGAATTTCCAATGCTGTAAATCTTTATGGAAGCAGACTGCCACATCTTTCTCCCTCGAAGCAGCTGGTGGGTTCAAACTGCCAGCCTTTTGGTTAGCGATCAAGCACTTTAACCACTGCACCACCAGGGCACCTACAGCAATGATAGTAACTGATATTGACACCTGTGCATTACTTCATTAGGTGCTCATGACATTCCAAATACACAAAATTTTGTATTAGGTCTCAAGGTTTTCCCTAGATTACAGTTCTAAGAATTCAGGCGAAGATTGGGGTAAGTGGGACATAGAGATGTTACAAGACAAAGAGAAGGAGGTCCTGGAGCTCATCTTTGGCAAGGGTGAACTTAGGTACCCTGTAGGGTAAGTGCTCTTATCCCCAGTTTACGCAGGAGGAAACTGAAACTTGGAGAAGTAACTAATCCAAAATCATACAGCCAGTAAGTGGCAAAACCAGGGATACTAGTTCTGTGTGAATTAGCAAATATTTATTAAACTCCTTGTACAGGCCAAACTCAGTATTTGGCACTCAGGGTACAGTGATGATCTGAAGTCCCTGCCTTCCTTGAGCTTACAGTGAAGTAGAGAAAATAGATAGTCACAGAAAGCACAGGTGCAAACTTATAAGTACACAACATAGAGATTTGGCCTAAGTAAAAGCTGCCAGAGAAGTAATGAGTGTTTGGAGTTGAGATTTAGGGATCACTGGAAGTTTAACAAAGTTTTTAAAATAGTACAAACAATGTTTTGTTTTGTTTTTAAATGAATCACCACATTTCAACAGAAGCAAATATTATTACTTTAGTCCTTTATACATTTGAACAAACCGAGCATGTGAATTTTTTAAAATTACTTTTGATTGCCAAAGTGAACTTCAAAAATCTTTTGTTCTTTTGGAGGGCTCCTGAAAAACTTAAAATACATGAAAATGATGTTTAGTCCAGTCACTAACTTTCCTCTTCCTGTTGATCACCTTGGTGGTGAGGGTTAGGGAGGAGAATAAAATTTTTAGAAACCTTATTCACTTCTTCATCCTTGAACAGAGCAGTGGTGTTTTTAAAAGGTAAATTATCATCTCAATGGTCTCTGAAACTGCCACCAACATTCCTGTTGTGGTTATTTGAATTCTCCTTCCTCTCTCCTTGAATTAATTTCTCCCCCATCTACACCTCCAGAATCAGACCCAGTACCCCTCTTAAAAATAATTTGTAGTTAACCATGGTAAATAAAAATTATAGATAAAAAAACCTATCTACCTAAAGTTTTTTTTTAAAAAAAAAAAGAACAGTCGTACTATAATATAATGGAAAAGTAGAAGGAAAGTAATTTATAACAAAATGCAGTATATTAATAGTTGGGGAAAGACACTACAATGTAATTATATACTTGTGTCTTATGAGAAATCATTGACAATGCAACAAATACAGATTTTCAGACTGAGGTAGGTACATGGTAATGTCGACTCAAGCACCACAAGTAGCTTAGTTCTTGGTGACATGATTTTTCAAAATGATAAATAACTTTTGGTAGTATTCTCAGAAAAACAAAATACAGTCTTACTGAGTTTTACCCAGTAGTTGCAGGTGCACTACTCAGGTACGCTTTGGAACAGAATATGATCTCACAACATTTGCCCTGAAAGTAAAACATAGTCCTCTTCTCTTATCTTTCCTTCTTTGTTTTTTAGAGGTGATGTGTGGGTAGAAGTTTTAGATTCATAGACATGGTAGTAGGAAGCTAAAAGGTTCTCCTCTTATAAACCTATCATCCCTTCTCTTTTCACTCTCTGTTTTTAGGGCAGTCATTTTAAATGAGGGTACTACCTCCTCCTAGGGACATTTTGGAAATGGGGGACATTACATGATATAGTAAAACCATTTAAGAATTACTCTGCATTTAATATAAAATGGTACTTAAGCTCAGGCTTATGTTTTGAATATCCAGCAAAACGTTAGGAAATGATGCTGGACATTGTGTGGGATTGTCTCAAATTGCAGGACTGCTAGCATCCTTGTCAGGAGCACCCCTACCATAGCAACCAAAAAAAAAAAAAAAAAAAAACTCCTCATTTCAAAATGTTCTTAGGAGAAGGTAACACCCTCATTATAAATCACTGCCCTACAGATACAGAGTGAAAAGGGATGATGGATTTATAAGAGGGAGAGAGCCTTTTAGCTTCCTATTTACCATGGTTATGAATCTGAAACTTCTCCCCACGCGTTATTTCTCAAATGAAGGAAGGAAAGAAAGAAAGAGAAGCAGACCCTTGTGTTTTACTTTCAGAGCAAATGTTGTGAGAGCATATTCTGTTTCAAAGTGCACCTGAGAACGCAGCAGTGGGAAAGGAAGCAGCAAGTGACCAGAGAACTGGAGCTAGTCAGCCTTGGCTGGGAACTAGCCTGAAATTCAGAAATGTCAAGCTTGTAAAGCCCAGCCCTGGCTTTCATCTTCACCCTCTCTTTGCCCTCCGCCTTGCCTTCTAGTCCCTACCTACTTCTTCCTTCTGGAGTCCCAGTCTCTGCTTCTCATTTTGCTTTACTTTTGGGTTAATCCCTCCCCATCAGTCAAAAGAAGCTTCTCCAATCCTTAGGAAGATCACTTGTTGGTGAGGTGGAGGTACAGAAGGGAAGGTGTGCTGAAGGATTAATGCTCACAAGGGGTACAGCTGGTGTTTTAGAATCCTATATTATGGTATCAGATTTCAGGAGTTCCTGAATGGTACAGACAGTTAAGTAATCAACTATTAGCCAAAAGGTTAATGGTTTTAACCCACCTAGAGGTGCCTCGGAAGACAGGCCCGGTGATACTGCTTCTGGATGGTCACAGCTTTGAAAACCCTATGGAACAATTCCACTCTGCACGCATGGGTTGCCATGAATCGGAATCAACTAGTTGGCAACCAACAGAAACAGTTATCGAATTTCAGGAATATTAATAGGTTTAAGTCTATATTCTGGTTTAGTGAAAGTGTGTTTCAAATTTTAAGCAGCTAATTTACCAACAAACTTCTGGAACCCTTTCTTGGATGGGAACTGCCAATTCTATGAAGTGACTTGAAACTGTTTTCTCAGCCCTGAAATCTATGTATGTATTTTGTAACAACTCATTACTAAAACACTTACTGATTCCTTTCCAGTTGGTTGTCTGGTTTTTCTCAGGTAGATGTCTTGCAATATACAAATAATGACAATCTGATCTCTAACTTTTCCATATTTGTACTTTCCTTTCTTGACAGATTGCCTTAACTGAAACTTTAGAGTTGGGTAATAGCAGAGAGAGAGAGCTATCTCTGAAATATCTGAATAATACATGTCATCATATTATTGAGTTCTAATGTCCTGAGTGCATTTTATTAAAACATAAAAGATAAAACTTTTTTAGAAGTTTATTTGATAAAGTAATTTTTTTTTAATTATCACTTTTTTTTATCTTCACTATACTAAATCGTCATTGGGGGCGGGGAGTGACAGTAGGGATAGAGCCATTCTTTACAGAAGGAAATTCCAAGAAAAAACGAGTATCCTATTTAAGTATTTCCAGTGTCTTTGGAGGTGTGTTAATTCATACACGTTGTGGCTGGGAGGAGAGCTCACTCATGGCTCACCGACTCCACTGATAAAACATTCTTCCTCTGTCCTCAGAGACTGGTGGAGAGTCGCCGGCAGCAGATCTTAAGGGAGTTTGAGGAGCTTCATAGGCGATTGGATGAAGAACAGCAAATGTTGCTTTCTCGACTGGAGGAGGAGGAACAGGATATTCTGCAGCGACTCCGAGAAAATGCTGCTCACCTCGGGGACAAGCGCCGGGACCTGGCCCACTTGGCTGCCGAGGTGGAGGGCAAGTGCTTACAGTCGGGCTTCGAGATGCTTAAGGTTCGACCTTTGCCCCTGTGTAGCCTCTCGGGTCAAGCACAATACAGCTTTGCACAGGCCAGTCTAGTGACCCTGGATGCTCAACCTTCTGCTCTGCTGCTCTAACCCCCGTTATTTCTTCTAGACATGCTCAAAGGATCTTCTACTGAAGGCTTTTCTGATTTCTCCCATTGCCTTCTAATCATCTCTCTGTTCTTATGTCTTTTCAACAATTATGTGCTTAATTCGAACAAAGAAAAAATTTACTATTTTGAAGCATAGAAAGTCTAGTCTGAATTAGTGAAAAACTAGGCATTAAAAATTTTGCGAATACAGTTATCATTACTTTCAAGTCCTGGAATTCAATTTACCTAGTGCTAAAAAAAAAAAGAAAGTCATAGTTTCAAGGATGCTTGAAATTATGTGTAATAATATATTGCTTTTGATCTGCAAATCAAAAAAACTGCCTTCGAGTTGATTCTGACTTCTAGCAACCCTAGAGGACAGAGTAGAACTTCCCCATAGGGTTTCTAAGGCTGTAGATCTTTATGGAAACAGACTGCTACATGTTTCTTCCAAGGAGTGGCTGGTGAGTTCAAACTGCCGACTTTTCTGTTAGCAGCTGAGCACTTTAACCACTTTGCCACCAGGGCTTCTGTGATATGTAAATAGTGCCTCTAAAATGTTTGAAAGAATTTGTTTTCTTTGGCAGATTAATGATGTTAGCTAGACTATAGGAAACATATTTATTTTAGTGATGAGAGTACCAGCGTTTGAATCAGTGGGGCTTTATTGTACATTTATGTGCATGTTATGTATTGCTTGGTATTTATATTTGTATTCTTTCATGTATGTGTGTTCTGCCTTCCACATTAAACTGGGAAATCTTGTGGGGCGAGGGGCTAGAGATTTGTCTTCTTTTGTTCTGGACCCCAGGTGTTCTCTAATCAGGGGCTGACACACAGTTATTAATGTTTATTTAACAATCCAGAGGAGGGATACCAAACCACAGCAGTAAATTGTGACTCATTCCTATGCCACAAGTTTGGAATTCAGTCCCTCAAGGGGACTGAACTGTGTGATTGGTACTTGGGGGACAAAGTAAAGAGCAGACACACAATCCCTGTCCCTTGCGGTGAGCTCCCAGTGTCACTGAAGAACAAAGACAAACACACAAGAAACGATTTGGAAATTATACAAATTACCAAGCTTCATAATGACCGAAGTTGATAGTGGGGATTCGGTTGGGAGAGATGCACTTGGATCCTGACCCTTAGTTTACCCGTGCCTATTTTATAGATCTAGAACTTTCTGGGGGAGGATTGGATTTTTTGCCTTCAGAGCCCTTGAATACCAGGACCAATATTGCTTTCTTTTCTCCTTCCCTCTAGGATGTCAAAAGTACCTTGGAAAAGTAAGTGATCTCCTGTATTTCTTTGAGTGAGTTAGGTCTTGGCTTAGAGACTAGGGGTGCAGTAGAGTCAGGTGAGTGAGACTGGGAAAATCATGTAGTATCAGGGTAGGATATGGAAATAGGTTCTTCACCCATGAAGCCAGTTAGAGGGCAAATCATTGGGACTTCCTTGGTAAGGAGAATGATAATGTAGAATCAGATTCCATTCTGTCCTGTGGGGTATAATAGTGTCCAAACAGGATGTAAGGAGGAAGGGGGTGGGAGATGAGGAACTATGTTTATCATTATGCCTAAAATAGAAAAACACACCTAGAATGTTCTGAGACTCATTCTCAAGGTAAGGCTCTGTCCAGGAGACTATATGGCTCTCCATAGATTGGTAAAAGAAAGCAGTAGGCAAGTGCTCTTCTTCAGGGAGGGGGGAGAAAGTGGGAAGACGGAAATTTTTAGTTTCTCCCTAAAGATGAAAACATCTGAATACTACTTGGCTGAAGCTTCCCCTGTGACCCTGCCCTCTCTTCTCCTATCCCCCTACCCTCCTAGATGTGAGAAAGTGAAGACCATGGAGGTGACTTCCATATCCATAGAGCTGGAGAAGAACTTCAGCAATTTCCCCCGACAGTACTTTGCTCTGAGGAAGATCCTTAAACAGCTCATTGGTGAGTTGCTCCCAAAAGAAGACTAGCAGAGGGGATCAGCAGAGAAAAGAAAATCCTTAGGTCCTACCTCATCTGGGCTTCAGTTACCCCTCTGTCACTTCCCATGCTCACACTCTTCCCACCCCTTTACCTGGCTTTCAGTGTCACTCTCAATTGAGTCATAGAAATCAAGTGAGAGGAAGCCTTAGGTATCATCTACTCGTCTGTCTGTATTTTTCTAAATAAGAACCTAGGGAAGTTAAATAATTTTCCCAAGTCATCAGGTAGAGTGATCATATAATTTAGCACCTAAACTGGAACACTTAAGAGTGAAAGGGAGTGCCATTAATATTTATTCAGAGAAAATAGGCATAAAGCAGACACAGGGTCACACTATCTGAGACCATAATGCTGCCTTGCTCTGTGTCCTTCCTGCCACACTCGATTCTTTCTGGCCCTTGATTTTGCCTAGCTCTTCTCCACACAATGAGGTAGATGATGTCAGAGGGGGATGGCGAGAGGACTAGGCTGGAACCTAGACTACCTGCCCTTACAGGGTCAGGAGATCATTATCTGTTTATATTAGGGTCGAGGTGAAGAGTGAAGCCATTGTTTCCTCCCCTCTCATGGATGGCATCTTGGATTGAGAAAGTTAACCAAACCATGGTGTTCTGGGGACCTTTAGGAGAACAGGCTGTGTAAAGGTAGGCTGAAAGAGTGAGGCAGGGGTGATTAGCTATTCCCATCCTCATCTAGCTCCCTACTCTGGCTTCTCCCGCCAGCGGACGTGACCCTGGACCCTGAGACTGCTCATCCTAACCTAGTCCTGTCGGAAGATCGTAAAAGTGTCAAGTTTGTGGAGACAAGACTCCGGGATCTCCCTGACACACCACGACGTTTCACCTTCTACCCTTGCGTCCTAGCTACTGAAGGTTTCACTTCAGGTCGACACTACTGGGAGGTGGAGGTGGGCGACAAGACCCACTGGGCAGTGGGTGTGTGCCAGGACTCCGTGAGCCGAAAGGGCGAGCTAACTCCACTCCCTGAGACTGGCTACTGGCGGGTGCGGCTGTGGAATGGGGACAAATATGCAGCCACTACCACACCTTTTACCCCTTTGCACATCAAAGTGAAACCCAAGCGGGTTGGCATATTCTTAGACTATGAGGCTGGCACGCTGTCTTTTTACAACGTCACAGACCGCTCTCATATCTACACCTTCACTGACACTTTTACTGAGAAACTTTGGCCCCTCTTCTACCCAGGCATCCGGGCTGGTCGGAAGAATGCTGCGCCACTTACCATTAGGCCCCCTACAGATTGGGAGTGACAGGTAGGTAGGGACATGGAAATAACTGGGGTAAGGCAAGGTCAAGAGCTATGGGCCTTCCTTCCTGTGTCCTGCTGGAACGTCGTCCTGTCTGCCTGGTTCCAGTCCTGAATCGTCTAGGAGAAACACCTTGGTTTCTAGGATGGTTTGTGTGGAGGAGTAGGGCTGGGCTCGGATGAGAGCAAATGCGTCCTCCTCCTGACTGTTGGGGTGAGGAGCTGGTTCCCGGGGATTGCCTCCCCTGAAGTCCATCAGATTTTCTGTGGCACAAGGACGGATTGGGAAGGAAGGAGAGGCTTTTCCAGAAACAAAAAGCCGATAGGGGAGTCTGTCTTCCTCAAGCTGGAGGAGGAAACAGAAAGCTGTATACCTCCTTTTAGGGGGTTCTTTGACCCAGAACAGTCTTGTTTCTTGAGGAAAATCATAGAGGTCTGTGTACCTCTAGGTTGAATGAAGATGAATGACAGTTGCTCTCATGGTTCTAGAAGTTGAGGATGATTTCTGGTGCAGCAATTGGGCATTAATGTTAGAAGGAAGGTTAGGGAAGGGAGTTTCTTTGGTTTTCTATTCCCAGGCTAAGGTTACCATTATGAGTAGGATTGGCCAGAAGTCAGAATGTGCTAAGGGAATCAGGGAGAGGGAGAGGGGGTGGGAAGAAAGAACAGGAGAACTCAGGTCCCTGCCCAGCCTTTCAGCAGAGCTGACTTATTGCCTGCCTCCTTATAGTTGATTGTCTCCAAGGAGTCAGTCACCTTGCTTCTCTTCAGAGGCGAGATGGAAGAGATTCTGCAGACATGTGTACCCTTTCACTGCTTTCCCAAAAGAACTGGGAAGGGAGAGGGTCAGGTACTAGAGGAAAGAGAAAGGTATTTCCATCCAAAGTTCTGGCCTTAAGGCTATTAAGTAGTTTATTCTCAAGTTGTCAGTCTTGTTACCTGGCTGAGGTGTCCAAGCCAGAAAGGAAGAAAGGTGATGGAGTCTTTCTCACCCTAAGGATGGGTAGAAAAGGATGGTATGTGTAGAGAAGGCTGGATAGGCAACTCCCTTTCACCTATGTGCACTTGGCCTGGAACTCGTATTCAGAAGAGCCAGCCTTTTGCTTGTTTGTTGCCGACGTTCACCCTTTGCCATTTCTCTTTTGAGAAGGCAAATTATTTTAATATTAGGCCCAAATAAGCACGCTGCAGAGTACATATGTTGTCAAAAAAAGGTAAAGTGATGCATGCCAAACCAAACTAAAACGACTTGGATTATCTCCGCTTGGATAATCAAGAGTTGACAGAAGATTGGGACAAGAGACTGAAATTTACTGAGGGCATTTCAGCTCCTCCTCCCACCTTAGTAGGACTCTGTCCAGACTCTTCTCCTCTTACCTTTGTGCCTTGACTGTGGTTCTTTGTGGCAAGATACTTTGGTTCATTGAAATAATATGGAGCAAAGGACCCACTGAAGTGACCTGTGTTGTGTGGTAATTTGGCAGTGGCATGGTGTTGATGTCTGTAATAATCACTGGGGTGTTAAAAATGCATGTTCCTAGGTCTAACCCTCAGTGAATGATCAAGGTTTGGGGGGGCCCTGGGCATCTGCATTTGAAACACACTCCTCCCAGCTGAGTCTGGGGACCCTTGTGAAACTCGTTCTGGAGGAAGTTTCAACCATTTCCTTTCTGTGAACTGGAGAACTGGTTCCCTCCAGCAGCCTGGCAGGAGTCTTGGGGGAGAGAGGCTGTAACCTGTCCTGGCCTATGTTGCCCTCTCCTTGTCTCAGCATTCGTTTCTATTCTGCCCCTTCCATCCTTCTGCTCCTGACCTCAAAAACTTGGAGTCACTATGAAGAGGAGGTAAACAGGATGCCAAACAACAAATGGGAGAAAGAGGTCAGAAGTAGGGGTGTAAAGTATATGTTTATGTGGGGAGTGGGGTGTCATTTCAGAGGTAGGGGATGCTATTGATAGGTTTCTGTGATCCAGTGCCTAAGACTAGGATTAGAAGCCATTGACTCACCAAGTGAGGATCCCCTACTCTGTGTCCAGAACTGCCTAACAGGAAGTACGTTTGTTAAGTAGAAAGGAGGGGGACTAAGTTGTGCTTTCTTGTGCCAGGAGCCCTCTTCTCTCCATCACTCTCATGGTCCTTCCCACTTTCACTCCCACTGGCACACGTGCCTTTTTGAACATATAAGCACTGTTTCTTCTGTCTGTAGATCTTCAGGCATCTGCCTTTGGCTTCAGGACTACAAGTCTAGCTGGTTATAATTGCCATAACCAGTACCCAAACCTATCTGCATAGAGAGACCAGTCTTCTGTCCTGCAAATGTTTAGAAGTTTTAAGATCATCTGCTCCACTAGCCTTTCCAGTCTCTACTTGGTATAACTGGTTTGGGGCTTGAGGAAGACTCTGGAAGGAAGCCAAAGCTCAGAGGGACCCTGGGATTGCCGGGGATGGCTTTACAAACTAACTGGTCTGTGAGGCCACGGGGTGGCGCCAGAATACGTTCATCAAGAGAGCAGGGCGTGGGAGAGGCTCGCAGGCCAGAGGACTACACTTCCCAGGAGGCGTTGCGTAGACGCCCGGGGCCAGGAGAGCCGAGGGGTGGAGCCTGCGAACTGACCGGCTTGGGGTGCCAGCTCCCGGGAAGGCTGGGCCGGTGAAGAAGCGCGAGGCCTTCCAGAGAGTAAGCTTCTTGTACCAGGTGAGCCCGAGTCGGGGCGCACCGGGAAGGGTACCCGGTGCAGATGGCCCAGAATGACCGCTCCCCTCCCGAGGCCGCCCACTGCGTCCGCGCCGGACCCTAAGAACCAGGCTCTGGCGAGGTTTTATTGCCACACGGGGAGGACAATTGCAAAGCCGCTCGTCCTACCGCGGTGAGCGGACGCGAAGTTTCGCGGTGGGCAGTACTGGGGAAAACCGGAGAGTGAGCGCGGGTACCCGACCACCTTCCTCCTTCGCCCCCAGGGACCCTTCGGTGAAGAGGACCCTCTGTCGTGGCTGCTCTTCCCTTGTCATCCCGGACCTGACCTGCACCCAGCGCCAGAGACATGAGTGCCCTTGCCGAGGGGGGACAATTGCAGAGCAGGGCGGGGGGGAGAAGACGGGGTGGTTGGCAAGCGACCCCTTCCTGGCTTTAGATGAGTGTCAGGCATAGGGTTTGTAGGAGCCGGCTTTCTCCAGCGCCGGATTCAGTTGCTAATCCCACCTGGACAAACTAAACTTTGGGCTTGACTTTCATTCCCAACCTGGGCAGTAGAGAAGTAATAATAGATGCATCATAATAGATGTTATTTGGCGTCATGGAGGACATGATTCCTATCACCACTTAGTTTTCTGAGATGTGTCAAGTATTGTGCTAGCTTCATTTATTTTCGTTAAAATTGCAGTCTGTTGGGACAGAGTAATAGAAACAAAATAGAGTAGAAAAATGATTGAACTGGAGCAGAGTGCTGAGTTACTTATGCCAGTGGTGGTCAGGTTCATGGCATGCAAAGGGAGTGGGAGATAGACATTCTAGGCATGTGTGAGGACTTCAGACAAGGGAGCTTGTGGTGCTGCACAGAAATAACAGTTCAGGAGCCTGAAGTTTGAGGGAGGCACGGGCAAGACATGAAGCTGGAGAGGGAAACAGGCTAGATCTTGGAGAGTCTTGTTAAGGAGTTTGGACTTTATCTTAAACGGTGCGAAGAAATTGATGGGGTTTAGGCAGGGGCCTGACACCATCAAATTTGCATTTAAAGGAGGGAAGATAGAAAAAGAATTCCTTACTGAAAAGAAGTGGAGGCAAAACTGGATGCAGGATATCTTTTCTCCTGCTAAACCTGGGCACCCTCTTCCTTTTTTCCCACATCCACCCCAAGCCACAAGGGACAGCGCTGGACAGTATAGACCTGCCTAACATGCCAGTGCAGCCAACGATTCCTCAGTGATCCCAGTCATCTGCTCTGGGGAGACCGGCCTGAAGCCCAGCTGGCAACAGAGAGGTGAGAGGTGACAGAGAAAAATGGGGGCTGTCCCAGGAGATAGGGACGCATAGGTGGGTTCTCGGTTGGTGGGAGAGGCACCACAGTCAACTCTAATTCTGCTCCGCTACCCAGATCCCAAACCACCACAGCCCCTGCCAAGCACAGGTCACCTCATTCCAGAGGAGAAAGTGCAACCTCAGAGCCCCATCACCAGTGATGAATTCATCCTGTCTACCAAAGAAATAAAGTTTCATTCTGTTTCACTTTGTATAATTCTACTCTGTGGGGATTTCAGCTCTTCATTTCATTTTCCTCTGTTTCTGTCCGTATTTCTCTGTTGCTGTCTAACCTCTCCTTTGTCTTTACCATCCTTGTACTCCCACCATGTGGGGATGTCCTGACCTCCATCAGCCACTAGGCCCCACTAAGCAGCTCCAGTTTTCAGGACCCCGCTTCCAGTGTTTCGTCAGTGCAGTGCCATGTTTGGACCTCAGTTTCCAGAGCTGTCTGCAAGGCCTCAAGCCTTCTTAGAACATTCTGTCTTTAGATAGCTGTGACTATTGACTGAAGGACTAGACAGACTGCTGATGCTACTGCTCTGTTTTTAAGTGAGGGTAAAAATACGGGGGCATGGGGAGAGGGGGCAGTTTAGATCCTCCAGGCCCACTTTTCACAATCTCAGAGTTTTCTTCTTTTAAATTCTAATGAGGGAAATGGTGCAAACCTGAACTAAAAAAGTCAGAGGTGCTCACAAAAGGACACTGGCAGATATTGCACAGGTCCACTCCGTGGGTAAACTCTCAAGATTGTCTGAAGAATCCTTCAACAACTAAAATTGTTTTCTTTGATATCCCTCAAGAGCGTACTCAAGGACAGAATTCCCAGACTGGCCACTTTGCTGGCTTCCAGTTAATTGGTTTACCTAAAAGTATACAAACAAAATTCACTCTTCTCAACATGTAGTTTTTTTTTCTTCTTTCTCTTATCAGTCCTGTGTTGCAGTAATCTATTGCTGCATAAAAATCCCTTCATACATAATGTTGCTTAAAAGAATGTTTTATTATTTCCTGTGATTCTGTGGGTTAGGAATTCTGACAGAGCTGGGCTGGGTGGTTCTCCTGCTCACGTGGAATCAGCTGGACCGCTACACAGCTGCATTTAGGTGCTCGCTGGTCTGGAAGGCCTGAGAAGGCTCACTCACATGCTTGGCACCTCACTGCTTCTACATGTCACCTTTCCATGTAGCTAGCTTTGACATCCTCATAGCCTGACACTCTCAGGGTGGTTGGACTTCTTACATGCCTCTGACTTCCACAGAGAACATTCCAAAAGAAGCCTGTGGTGCAGTAAATCACTTAATATGGCTCTTCTAGCCATAGTCAGTGACTGGGTGGGACTATGCAAGTAAGGTGCTTGTGGCCCACCAAGGGGATTTGCATGCTAATAATGCAAATGTGGTGCATTGCACCTGTGTAGGATGGGATTATTCAAATAAGGTGTATGGAACCCGAACGACGGGATTGGTCAGTTTTGCCATCACACTAGGCTTAAAATGAGCCATCCCAAAGGGCAGAAAGGGAGGACCTCACAACGACCAAGAAGAGATGGGAGCAGAGCATGTCCTTTAGGCCCAGGAGACAGACAGCTGTAACACCATAGACAGCACAAGATGGCGACAAGTGGCAGCAGAGAAAATGGTGGCAGCAGAACGAGGAAACTGATGCGAGAAGGCGCTGTGGGCTTCCCAGCCCATGGAGCAAGGCGGTTACAGTGGGTGTGTCGACCTATGGAGCAAGAAAGCTGAGCACCTTTGGGCAGGAGGCTTCCTGGTGGAATGGGGTGACCCCAGGTACTTATTGGTGGAGCTAACAAACTTTATAACACTTGCCCAAGTGGGGCAGAGGCTGGGCTGAGGAGCTGAAGGCCAGAGGGAGGCCTGCCTGCAGGCATGGCTAAGAGGCTGTCCTGATCAAAGAACTGTATCCTGAGTTGTTTCTGATCCTGGATTGCAACCTTTTATTTCCTAATAAACCCCATAACTGTAAGTATGGTCCATGAGCTCTGTGTGGCCATTGCAATGAATTATCAAACCCAGTGGAGAAGTAGAGAGTGCCGTGGGAGGGACGACAGTTGTCAGAATTGGTAAAAAGATTGGAGAGAGGAGGCATGTCTGACCTCTGCCTCATAGGAATGAGCCTTGGGCTGTTGATCTTCAGTCTCCTTTCCCCTTATGAACTTAGACAAGGACCTCTGACACCTCCTACACAGCATTTTTACAAAGCCCCAATCTGCAAATGTTTATCACTTCTCTGCACCACCCTTGCTAATGTCCCTTGGCTAAAGCAAGTCACCTGGCCAAGTTTGCACGAAGATTCATTGGTTTTTGGGGACCAACAGTGTAACAACCTACCACGTCTTATTTTTGTTTTTGTCCCTGACTTGATCCATCCACTGACTCCACAGGTCAGTACACTGCATAAAAGGTAACTAAACAGTGTACAAGTAACTAAAATGCCTGAGTTAATTTTTAACAGCTTATGTCTGGAGACTGCCTACGTGGGTCAACTGTGGGAACTAACAGAAATGTGTCACCTCAAAATACACATCATGTGAACCTGGACCCTTTGTGTCTTCCACTCACCTTCCTTGGTTCCTCTCCTAAGTCTCATTTCTGGTGATTGAGCTCTTTCGCACTTGCACGCTAAATCTGAATCTTGGTCAAGTTTTTGAGTGTGATTATGCTTGCACATAACTGAACATGTCCACAGTGGGGTAGCAGTGGTGGAACTTTTAAGTTTTGATTTCATGGCTCCATCATTAAGTGATTCCACTCACGTGGGAGACCATGGAAATCAGTTCTCAGTTGGGAGGCAGAAGAAACAGAATGATTGTGGTTCATTTGTGAGTCTGTATGGCTTGTTCGTGTTTTATGTTTCCATAAACATAGATTCCTCTAAATCTAAAGATCATAGCCCTCTTCCTCCTCCTAAAACTCTATCCTTTTTCACATTTACTTATTATGACATGATAAAAAACCAAACCGGTTGCCGTCGAGTTGATTCCAACTCAGCGACCCTGTGGGACAGAGTAGAACTGCCCCATAGGGTTTCCAAGGCTGAAATCTTTACAGAAGCAGACTGGCACATCTTTTTCCTGCAGAGTGGCTGGTGGGTTTGAACTGCCGAGCTTTCAGTTAGCAGACGAGCACTCAACCAGCTGCCCTACCAGGGCTCTTCTTTATGACATGATAGTTGTCGGTATATGCAAAAATGAATTTCCTGTACGAAAGATGGGGGAAGAAAACCAAATCCCTAGTATGCAATAGTCAGCTTCCTCTAATTTTTCTAAACAATTTGGTAATTCAAAATCAGTGCCCTTTCAGGACTCTATATATAAAATTAAAAGAGAGAAGAAACTTAGATCATTCAAATTGAATCAAGAAAACAAGGTCTTCCAAAAGCCATAGAAACCAAGTCTTAATCATTCTCCAAACTTTAGGTCAGTTTATGACTTTTCAAAACTGGTAGCAATCAGTATCTTTGTCAGGTGTTAAGAGAGCAAGATATTGATTGATTGACTGTCCTGAATTCAAAAGAGGATTAGAAAATTAGATTCTCAACAAAGAGAATAGTAAATAATTCTGGTCTTCTCTACCTCACATATGTTTGTAGATATCAAATGAGATGTGAATCCACTTTGAAAATTAGATATTATAATTTTAGTAGAGTGAAGTAATGATCATAATAATACTGAGAGTAGTAACAAGTAGCAAAATACATTAGAAAAGACAGGGCCTGGACGTCAGGGAATCTTGAGTTGCTGTCCCTGCAGTAGGCATTTGTAAAAGGAGGAACTTTAACTATGTTCACTTCCTGTAGTATCTTCCCCCTCTGGAGACTAACAGCTAAAGTTATGACCTTTTCATAAATTCATTCAAAAATATTTTCTAAGCACCTGCTCTGTGCCAGGGTGTTATTCAGGCATTTGGGATATACATCAGTGAACAAAAGAGTTGGAGGGAAGACAAGCAACAATGCATGATAAATTATATAAAGGGATATGTTCTATGGAAAAAACAGGAAGACTTGGGGTACAGGTTAGCGTTTTAAACTGAGCAGTCAAGGTAAGCAGCACTGAGAAGGCAACCACAGCAGACTGTAGATGCCTCTTCCTTATCCCCTCACACCACCCCAGAGACTTCCTGCAGATACTTCCCATGCATGACAATGGCTTCTGTCTCTCTGTCCCAAGGTATTATCTGGCAGTAGGAGCTGTGCTGGGTAGGCCAAAAGTCCCAGGTAAGAATACCCCTAGGAGCAACCCCAAACTATGATTGGTGGATCAATACTCCACAGAGTCTCAAGCCAACATGGCGCTATAGACAGAAGCACCATGCCGTCCCTCCACAGCAAAGACCCAAAAAGCTAAGTAAAACAGACAAGTCAGTCCTGGAACCCTAAGCATCAAATGAAGAGATAAAGAACTCAACCAAGCACCGAGTTGAGTAAGAAACTGACAGAGAACAGAGAGCAAGGAGAGTTAGGAGCGGAGGTCCCCTGTCAGCAAACGCAGCACAGATCCACCATCTCGGACTCCTGTCAGAGATCAGCAGACAGGGAGTATGGGAAAGCAGACTCATGGAGCTCCCAGCAGTAAACAGCACCCGGTAACCAGCAAGACACACTTTCCCACCTCCCACCCTACCTCCCCCTCCTTGGCCTTCACCATTTCCCAGCTGTCCAATCTGCAGCTTCCCAGCTGGCCAGTCATCGGCTTCCCGGCAGGCCAAGCCACCGCTTCCCTGCAGACTGTGACTGCGGCGCAGGAGGCGCTGGTTCCATGCCTCTTGGATTTGCCCCTCCACACCAGCCGGCTTCTTCACTGCCATTTCCTTGTTGCTGGTGTTGCTTTTTTTGGCCTGTTTTGGTTTCTTCCCTGCCTTTCACCTCCTCTCCCTCCCCTTCCTCTCAAACACCTAACTCTGTGTGCCATCTTTGCTTCTTCTTGACTGTCTGTGAAGCACCACTCAGCTAGGGAACTGGTTCCCTGGTCTGCACCACCAAGCTGGTGGGATCCCTGGGGGCTTTTTTTGTTTGTTTGTTTTCTTCTTTTTTTCTTTTTCTTTTTCTTCATTTTTTGGTTTCCCGTCTCTTTCTACTTATCTTCTTTTTCTGTCTCCTGAATACTTGGCACTGTATATTGTCTCCACCTCTTCTAGCCAGGCTGTACTGCATGGCTTGGGAGCT